GTAATAAAACTACCAGAAAAAACTATATATATCATCCAAATTGCTAAATAATATCTTAAGCCAAAAGTATTCCATTTAAAATTAATAAGTGCTTCACCATTCCATGTGCTGTAAAAAGTTAAATCATCAATATTTATAAAATGACAAGATTTTGGTTTAAATAATTTTTTTAAAAAAAATTCATCTTTTTCATCATTTTCATAATACGTAACAAAATTTGGCAAAGGAAACATTAAAAACAATTGTGGGTGGAATTTAGGTGGTGGAAACATGAAAACAATTTTTTTATATAAATGAAGATTTGCAATTTTTGTATATAAATAAGGGATAATCTTTTTATATAGAAAAGAGTTATAAAAAGTATCAACTAAAGAATCTAAATATGTTAATTCAGATAAACTACTATAACATTGATAATGAGAAAGATGTTTTAAAACTTGATTCTTTTTTTCTACATGAAGGACACAAAAAAGTGAAATTTGTGTAATAAATTCTTCAAAAAATGATTGATTTTTTCTAAATATTTCAGTGATTGATTGAGAAAATATTTTAAATATCTGCGTATTTATAATTTCATTATCCTTCACAATTTGCTTGGTGCACGCTTTAAACAACTTTCGTAGCAGTTCGTCATCATCGTCTATAATAATATCTTCTATAAGTTTTTTCCCATAAAGTATTAAAAAGAATTTATTATTAATATGTTTTTCTATTAATTCATTAAAAAAAAACCTATCTTTATCACTGTTACTCTCTTTATTATATAGTTGTGGTGGTTGTGAGAAAGCAGAATTATAACGTATTATACCAATATATGATGATGGTGGGAAAAAATATTTTTTCTTAAATCCTTTCTCATCATCAAAAAGTTTAATTACGTTTTCTTTATTCCAATCCCAAACATTCCCATCATTCCAACAATAATTCAACTCTATTTTATTAATTTGTGTATTAAATGTCCAAATTGATACACCTAAAGATGTAACCATAACAAAATCACCGTTATTAAGACAATTGCATTCATTTATAAATTCTTTATTATTCATAATGGCTTTAATATATAATTCTG